CCGTTTCTACGCAAACTAGTCCCTCAGTTTTAAAGCTATCTGAATGAAACTTTGCACATAGTCTTCTATATACTCTCACTGCTATATATGTCGGAACGGGCCGGATCGGACGAATATATCATATAGCTGCCATACAAATGATCGATAAATTTTTAGAAAAAAATTATAACTTGGATGTTTTTTAACATTTTTGCACCATTTTTTAGATATCGCCATTTTATATTATTTCTGAATTTTGTTAAAAATTTCACGAAAATCGGACGACTATATCTTATAGCTGCCATAGGAACGATCGGGAAATTAATAGGAAAAAAAATGATAACTTCGTTGTTTTTCAACGTATTTTCATCTACTCTGAGATAAAAGCTTATTTTATTATTTTAGAATTTTGGTATAAATTTCATAAAAAACGGACAACTATATCATATAGCTGCCATAGAAACGATCGGTAGATGTAGAGACAATGTAAGGCTGGGAATGTAAAACTGTAACTGTCAAACTGTAAACATAATAAGTATAGGTAAAATGTAATGAAATGATATCTGCAAGGGTATACAAACTTCGGCGTGCCGAAGTTAGCTTCCTTTCTTGTTATATAGTATAAGCCGTCTTATACCTTTGAAACTCACTGTTGGTTTACTTAGAAGGCATTGCCTCTGCGCTCAACCACAAACCGAAAAGATTATGCACAAAATATGCAAAAATCCACAGAAACCGAATAATGAAATTACTTGAACGCACAATAAACATTATTATTTTTTGTTGTATTTTTTTTGCTGTACACTCGTACAGTGCGAAATTGCAAATGCGCCCAAGGCCAATGGAGTTCATAACAAAAATGAAAAATAAAAATAAAAACCATAAAATCAAATACATTTTGGCGCTTGCCAAATATGCGGGACCTGGCTTAATTGCAGCAGCAGCAGCCACTGAAGGCTCCAACGATCGGCTGAACCTTAAACGTTTTCGAGCGTTCCGGCCATTTCTGGTGACAATTTGTTAAGACCCCCAACCCACACATACTATATACGAACGGGAACGCGAAGACGGCGGAGGCCGAGACAAAACCCAAACGATCGCATTTGACATTGTTTCCTTGGCTGACTCGCAAATCAGCCACACACGCCCACACACTCATCAGCTCGCAGTCATCTAATTCGTGTGGTATGAATGGTTTTGCATTCATAAATTAGCCAGCAGATACTTAGATATGTGTCGCACTCTCAGGCCCGCCACTTTGTGTACATATCGCGTTTCCCTTCCCGACGCCACCTTCTCCTCCCACCTGAAGTCGTGAGCCAATGCAAATTGTTCGTTCTCCTACCGGCTTAAAACAATCAATCAGAGCCAGCCGCTAAGCTGCTGAGCTGAGCCCGGTTTTAATTTGGTTTAGAGGTGTCTGCGCCATCTGACTGGCATATCTTATGAGATTGACAAGTTTAGGACTCGATTAGAAATATCCTCTTAGTGTGCTTGGTGCGAACGAGGTCTTTGCTAATGGAGAACCGATCGAAAGCACTGATATATTTAATTATTTTATTGAATAAAAAGTAATTAGGTTGAGTAGTATCTGAAATAAATTATTGAGAATTTATTTCCTAGTTCGAAACAAAGTTAAACTTTTGAGCAGCAATATTTAATGTATGAGAGTGATCGATTCTTGAATAAATGCTAACCTAAACCAATTCTCTGTGCCTTCATCGTTCCTTAAATATCTTTTAATATATATATAATCTGATTCCACATTAATATTCTCACTACCGTGTACACATTTTATGCCCTACTTGCCCGCGGACATAAAGAACCCTTGCCAAAAAATCGTGGTGCATAAAATTTGACAATTTATTGACGCTCGACTGGTTGTCGTTCGCAGTCGCTTTCGCATTCGTCGTGCCTTGTGGCTTGTTGCCTGTTTCGTGTTCATCGTCAAGTGCAGGAGTCTAAATTTAAAATTCAAATGTTGCAAAATGCGGCAGTTGAGCGGAGGAAATGTTAAGATGTCCGACGCCCACCTTTTAGAAGGGCAACAAATTCGAAGAGGAATCTCTCTTGGTTTCAGCTGCGATTCTTCACCAATCCAATGGTGATGTCATGGTGGCACCAAACGGGTCCATCCTTAATCCACACACCCAACCTTGAGCTTTACCCATTTCTAACGTGTCCGTAGCTTATTCTTAGTTGCTTGACTAATAACACTCCATAGAAAGGTTCGCTGCCATAAGTGCTTTTGTGGGGGCTGGCTATAAAAAGAGCGCAGCAGCAAAAAGGAAAAAAAAAAATAATAATAAAGAAAAAAATTATACAAAATGATAATAATAATACTTGAACACACACGCAAAGCAGTTTTTTTCCCCCACTTATTTTTGCGCTGGGTGCCAAATTTGGAAGCTCTGTCCCTAGCCATATATAGAATGAAGTCCGGGACTTGGCCAAGAGATGGAGATAGAGTCATAAGCGCGTTGTCTATGTAAATTATGAGTCGCAGAGCGAAAACGAACTGGAAAAGATGGCGAATCGAGTTTTTCTGCGTTGCCTTAAAAGCGCAAACGACTCGCGACTTGTTAATGAATAAAAAGATCTTTCATTGATAATTATTAGATTGGCACTGCTCTCGTTCTCCCCGCCCACATTCCCACTTCTACTGAGTTATGTTCCGCCGTATGCCCTAAAATGGTCAGTTGGCAACAGGTGGTGGGCTCTGGGGTGAGTTGGGAACTTAATTATAGACTCTAGGCTCAGCCCCGGCTCCGACTAAGCTGCCATTAATTAAGCCGCCTGCGCATATGGCATGAACTTGATTATTGTAATTTATCTAAATGCAGCTATCAATCCATCTGACTTGGGCCCCAGAAGTGACTAATTCGATTCAATGACTCGAGACTCCGTCATCGCCTCGTTCTCTCCCCGTATGCAAATGCAATTTTACACCAATTTGGCGGGGCTTATTCATCTAATCTGGCTGCACAATCTTCGTGCCACTGCCACACATCCATCCGACCATCGGTCACGTTGCAGATTGAATGGATGTGGATGCGGATTGACACTCGCTCGATTAAAATTGACAGCTGTCATGATTGCGATTATGCCTATTTCTCATGGCTCTCGGCTCTTGGCTCTTGGCTCAGAACCCAAACGCCGATGATGGAATACATGTTCGTTCTACTTGCGTGTCGCAACAAATTACACGAAAATGGGGAAACAAATGAAAAGCCTTTCTGGAGCTGCTCTTAATTATTGTTGAGCGGAAAATCTCGTCTCCATCTCTATCAATAATCGAGTCAAGTGCCGGACCGCTGTGCCGCTTTCATCCTCGTCTTTGGCATTTTCTTGATGGGTTCTTTGGCCCGCAATGAACTCTGGAATGGCGGACAGAGCGTTTCTTTTTCTCACCGCTGCTCGGAAAAGTAAATTTAAATTTTGTGCAATTTCTTTTTCGTCTTCTTTGTTTGCCTTGGCTGCGCAGATTTTTTTTGTGTTTCATTTCATATTTATGTGGCACACAGAGAAAGCCGGTGAATAAATATGAAAATTTGCCAGAAGCTGCCTAGACAAAAATATCAAACATAATTAATTAAAACGCCAAATTTAAATCAAACAAGATGTTTTTCGGTAAATATGTGTATATTCTCTGCAATCAACAGGTCAAGAAACTCGGACAGGGTCTTTGATAATTAAATGAGACGATTTTTCCATGAGAAAAACATCTATGCAATCAAAACAGTTTAAATATTTAATATGTATTTATACATACAAATTTTTTATTAGCAACTCTGAACAAGTAGAAGAGCTACACACCAGTGTAAGAAATATGAATAAGAACATGAGTAATTTACTTTGTCGAATTAAGCTTGATTTTATGAAAAACTTAAATTTAACAGGGCGAAAGGCAAGGCAAATGTTGCCAGAAACATGTTGCGCACCTCCCAAAAAAAGGCACAAATTCAGACATTTTCTTGTACCGACTCAGTTACTTATTATATTCCCTTCACCTTTTGATATATCTTTAAAAAAGACTTATTTTTAGCTCATAAAATGTATTTCTAAAGATTCCGATGACAACAGTCTCACATACACTGTCAAAGAAATCAGATAGTGGCATTTAGTGAGAGAAGTCAGGCATTTAATTTGATGTCATTCGGTGGCAAATTCTTAAATCATTTCAGTGACATACGATGCAGTCACCTTTCCCGCCCTCCCAGCACAATTACCCACTTTTAGTGACAAATTGTCAAAGCACATGCCAAAGACAAACAATGCAATTGAGCTTATGCAAAAACTAAACAGCACCCGGCCAGCAGTGGCAGCACAAAATGTTGATCATATCAATTCGAGAGCCCCTGTCAACTGGCACAGTTGGGGGTTGATCGGAACAACACCCACCCCGCCATGGAAAACACCACGAGTGTGAATATATAGGGGAGCTGACCTCAGGCTAAAAGGGTGGGGGTAAAGTTTTGATCATCACATTAGGATGGCATAATTTGTTTATATATAAACCAAGTGATTCAAGTGATTTCATGGATCAAATAAACCCAATAAATAATATTAAAAATAAAACCAGTTAATAGCTAAGTAAACATATTCACACACCGCTTTATTGATGCTAATTTAGTAGGTTTTCCAGAGGCAAATTAAACGTAATTTAATACAAGCACTTAACAAAAATGACAAATTGAACCCCCACTTGCCTGAAGTGTAGGCAAAGAGCCGACAATTAAAATTATCAACGCTTTGTTTATTTGCTTTTCAACTGTGAATTATGGCGTTCAGCGCTAAATACTAGCAACTGGAGGTGTCGATTTTGCATGATTAGGAACAATAAAATAATGTATATAAATTTAAAATTTTTTTAATTTCATTTTAAATTAAGTAAAATCGATGATAATGTGGCGAAATACTAATTACAAATCGTTTTCAAAAACTTGAAACTTGTAGACTTATAATATTTCCATTTAAAACTTGTATTAATCCAACTTTATCTTATATTTCAATCTTTCCAGAAATTGCACGCGTGCGCGCCTCTCTGTTCCAGATCAATGGGGTTAAGAAGGAGCCGCTGACACTGCCCGAGCCCGAGGGCGCTGTGGTGACGATGAACGAGAAGGTCTATGTGCCAGTGCGTGAACATCCAGATGTAAGTATGCCGTAGCATAATGATAACGATGATCTAATTTTGCGTATCGGATCGGATTCGGAGGAGGGCTCGGGCTTCCCGTCAATTGGAATTGACAAAGCGCGTTCAGTGAGCAACTGGGCTACACCGGAAATGGCTTAAAGGTGTGCCTTGCCTGCCTGCCCGCTCAGCTATTTGCCGAGGTGTATCTTCTTGTGCCGATAGAGTCAGTCATCTGTTACGCTGTCTTGGCGGCGGTAAGACAGGCCAACGAACGCCCCAACAAGATGCCAAATGCAAAGCTCCGATCCACCCTTCCACTCTCCCTATATAGAGATAGATAGATACAGATATATATATTTGGGTTAGACAGAATCATTGAAGCGTTTTAGGAAGTCGTTTGACGGCGTTCATTCGTTTCATTTGTCGTTCATTGTAGGCGTCGGAGCAAGTCACTCGGGCCAAGCCCTGCCACATTAGAATTTGATTTAATTTTATGCAATTTAAAATGTTTCCTCCCCGCCCCCCCCCGCTCTCCGCTCTCAGACATGTATGTTTCTTTTGTTTTTCTTTAGTTTTGTTATGCCTTTTCAGTTAATTTGGAAATTGTTTGGGCGTAGTTTCTTTATTTTTTTATATTTATGGCCTGACAGCAGTCGCAGTGGCGGAACTGAGGAAATTTATTTTACTGCATGACACACTTTGCTCTTGATGTTTATGTTTTTGCTTCGTTTCGTTATTTTTTTCTCTCGGTTGTGATCCAGATAAATGCATAAATTTAAATAGCATTAATTATACCCAAAAGCATTTCGCCCTCTGTCGATGGTGTCTCCATTGGTGTGGCTTCTGTTCAGCAGCTGTTCAAATAATTTTCTTTGCCAAATGGCGCCAGCTCAGGGCGATTGGATGGGGACGATGCCCCAATCAAATAATGTGGAATTAAATGATTGTAAATCGGCTTAGATAGTATTTTAAACATTTACTATGAAAACATTGCATTTTATGGGAGAGGAGAAAATATTTAAATTTAAATCGTATCAGAGAATATGTCTCTAAAGCAAACAAGAGTGGAAGTTATACACTTGAAGTTAAAGAAGAAGATTATCTGCAAAGTTTCATTTAGATCAACTCAGCAATGCTGATAAAGTGTGCATATACATACATATACACCTTCGGTGCGATGCAAAAATAATATAAATATGAATATGACAAAGATTCACAGAAATATTTTCAATACAAATGGTGTTTAGCCATTTTACCCTAAGTTCAAAGTTCTAAAGAAGATAAATACATGTCTTGAGCCACTCAGCCAGATGAATATGATAATTTATCAAGTCAGCATCTATTGGTAAGGTTATGGAAACCATTTTATTTGTAGCTTCTGCTATCGTTAAACATTTCGCACATGTGCCATTTAATTAATTACCTTTGGGCCGTTGCATAAAGCAAATATCGGGAATCACAAGAGAGTAAAGAACAGATAACATAAGAATGGGTGGGCAGGCAGTGAGTCGAAGACATTAACATTAAATTGGACTTTATTAGGCCTAGACGACCCAAGCGAAATGAATATGAATGAGTTGAGGCTATAAATTAAAAAGAACACAGGCTACATAATTTATAGAAACAAGCAATGTGCCGACTGAAACAACGTTTGATGATGATGTTTGGTTTCTTTGACTTTCGGTGTTTTCCAACCGAAAACTGGCACAGATCTTCTCAGAGATTTACGACCCGAGGGCCGTTGATTTTACCGCCTGATTTTCCAATATTTTCAGGTGTTCCAATCTGTCTTATTTTAAGGCATCGCGGGTAAAAATTTCCCCCTTGGTTGGGATGAGAGTGCTTTCTGTGTGGGCGTTTCTCGAGCGGTGCTTTCTCGTAAATCATCTTATTTAATTGCAATCATTTCGAGCGGACAAGAGCTGCAATAACTAAAAATTTGCATGGGAAATTCTGACATTATCCAATGGCTGCCAGTCGAATTTTTGAGAATGTGTTTAAGCAAGATAAATTGCGTTTCAAATAACATGGAAGTGCAACAAGTTCTGGGCAAAATGTTTATTGGTTTCGGGCCGCGGCAGCGCTCCGCGTCATGGGGCATAAATTTCAAGGCATTAGGCAAGACACTCACTGGCTGGCAATCGCAAATAATAGCAGTTAATAATTTATACCGTATTCAACAATGTAAATAGAGATTTGTCAGATGGCTGACAACCATACAGGCAACAATATGCCATGTAAATGTTCAACGATTTGTCAACCCGACTCCAAATGCAGAGGCGATCCCAGGGAGAGGCAGACGAAGATATCCATCTCTCAGTATCGTCGTTGAATCTCGTTTCTCTGGCTGCTCCAAAACATAAATGCAACTTAATTAAAGTCCACAAGCGATGGACGACAGCGGGCAAGGCATTAAAACAGTTTACAATTAATTACAGCCAACTATTAACGCTCCAAAGTCTCATCTGTCCGTCCTCTGTATATATCGCCATTCAGCTCTGTCTCGTTCTTTCGCCTGTTCCCTGTCAACGCTCATTGCTCATACGCCCCGTGGCGCAAAATGCGACATGCGGCATACGACATGTTGACCCACTGAGCCCAGTCAGCTCGCCAGCCAGCTAGCTTCTGAGTGATTTCGCTAGCAGCAGAACAGAAATGATGTTTGACATTTTTTATATTTTCGCAAACTCATTTTCCGATGGTTAAATTTAATCATTTCAAGCTGAACATATGGAAGAAGAACAATTAGATGCGATACGAGGGAAATATTTTCATGGTGAGGCAACTTTAGTATGTCGTCATACTGGGTTAAAGTTCCTTGTTTGAATAGTACGAAATCCCTGATTATTTGATGAAAACCAGCTTTGAGGATCGGTGGTTTTCATGATCGAATTTGTTTTCAGGCACGAACACCCGACTTTTCTGCTTTACCATTAATTAATCAATTGTTAATCGATCCCATTGAGTTCATTAAATTCCCTTTCCGCTGATTAATGCTGTGCGGTCACACCCACACAGATCAACAGATGTGAGCCACTTGACATTCGAATCGTGTTAAGGTCGTTCGTTTGGCCGCCAATAAACATATCGATCAACGGGGGAAAAACGCGGCCATATTTAAGCCAAATTATACCCAACACAGCTTCCCTTTGTTACTCTCGTCTTCCCCAAATCACTCACTCAATGTTGCTGTTTGCCGATTTGCTTGCCTGCTTTTTGTTTATTGTCTAAGCCGTTAACACAAAAGCCAATTAATCTACAAACTGCAGCAAATTAGTCATAAACATTGAAATGCTAATTACGTGCAATTTTTATGTACATTTTCGGTTGTTCAGCAGTTTAATAGGTACGGATCCCGGTCTTAAAAATATCGACGTTAACTCTACAAATTGCGGCAAACATTATTTTCTAGTTAAATTCGCTGCCACTTTGGCTGCTGTTGTTTGTCATGTCAAAGTTTGATTTATTTTTCCGTGTAATAGACGAGCTTTTTGTATTCCACAGCCGCAGCGTAATTATGTGTGCTAAACTGTCCCGCTCTCTACGGATGCATATACATACCGCATATACATACATTCATGTGCCTGGTAGTAACCGAGCAGTAATCTATTTGATCTATGCCGACCCCTGCCTTGGCTGCTTATGCATTTTTGCTTTTCAACTTACTAGCGAGCGGCTCAAATGAAAAGATTCCAAAATTCCTTGAGTCACACTGGCAACGCGATTAAATCTGAGCAAAACACTATAATGGAATAAAATATTCCCCTGCGCCTTTAGGGAAAATTATCGAATATTCTCTTTGTGTGTGGTTTTCAAATGAAAACTTCTGCCAGAGCACCTTTGTGCTTTTAATTTGATATGGACCGACTTGGTCGGTTGCCATGGCCACAATGGTGCCCCGTGGTATGGTGCTAGTAGGGGCTTCTTATCACAGCTCCGCGTGTTTGTATAGGCACTCTCCCTTTTAGTATTTTCGGCAAGAGCTATGTGCTATGTGGTGCCCTTTGTGTGTGCGACGCAGTTCCCTTATCAATTGTCTGTACCTTTGCCTTATTGAAAATGACTGTAGTACGAATTGTATAAATATAAAATATATTTTCTTTGCTCGCCCCCCTATCTGAGCTTACAATCTGTGAAATAAAGCAGCCTCCGCTCGCACACACACATATATGGGTACACTGAACAGCATTATTTGTCTGTTCGCTTCACTTCACTTAGCTCCACTCCACTCCACTTCACTAGCAGCTCCCGTGTCCATCTGCCTTTTGTCTGTTTACAAGTTGCTCAAGTACCGCCGGTAAAAAGGTCAATACAGCAAAATACTACAGACCCAAAGTCGCAAACAGTTTGTTTTTCGTTGTTATATACATAAAAAAAAATCTGTATGCTTTTAAAATGTGGAAATAGTTGTATATTTATTTTAAATAATAGGGGAAAATATAATTTCTACTGTTTTGCATTTTTATTGGTTCTTCTGGCCTTTTGAATTATTAAAAATTTGTGTTATATTTGTAAAAATACATAAAAACGACGTTACTTTGATGTGACAATTAGTTAAGAACTCAATCCCATTTCTCGAATGATGTCCCCGCGAAATTTATGTCGTTTTCGACGGTGAACTTAGTCGCTCGTAAATGACGTGATTTCGTAAGATTCATAATCTCGATATAACTTTGTACTGGTTGAGTTAAAGTCGGCGGAATTATGTATCAAATGTTTTATTTTCGGTGTATTTGAAGTTCTTAGAGGCACGCATTCCACTTGAAGACGCGTAATTGCATGATAACTGTGGAAAAAGCAAGAAAAGCAAAAGGTCTTTCATTGTTGGAAAATCTATTAATACTTCTGTATTGTGTAGTTTCGTAACAATAACAATTACAAATTGCCTTGAAGGTTTTAAAAAGCTTATTATTCCATTAAAATGTTGTGTGGGCTTTTCTTATAAAAAGAAAATACGTCTAGGGTATGTTTGTTTGTTATTGTACGAGTATTAATATATAATTTTAATTTAGTTTTCCTTTTTAATTATCTTGTACTTATACATACAAATAACCCTTATTAGTTTCCCATGTATAGTTGCTTACATTTCCTAATAAAATAAGAGCTAAAGACGCCCTTTAAGCGCAATCACATATAATTTATCTGGCCACTCGTGTTTGCCTTTCATTCTTTATTTGAGTTTATGTTTGTAGAACGCAAGTGGCAAGGCAACGCGTCGCGTCGTATGTGAAACCTTTTAAAGGGAAACGCTTGGATTTTAATTTCCTTTTAATGGCAAATGGAAGAGATCATTTGTGTAAACTTTGAGCAGAGCCAGGGATTTTTAATTAAGCAACTGATACGCAATGCAAATGTTGTCTTTAGCTTGCGTATCTCATTTTGTAGGGGTTTTTGTGGAAGCGTTGCTGCAACTTTTTTCCTTTTTATTTGAGTCTAGCAACTTTCTCGTATTTTCTGGACTTAAATGGAGGCTGAGTTACCAGCGAGAGGCACATTAAATGATTTTTTCGCAAAATTTAATTAAAATTGCCGGAACCATTAGGCATTAACTGCATTCTTCGCGGCAATTTTCAATTGATTCGATCTCATCAGTGGCAGTTGCCGCTGCTGTCGCTGCTGCTGCTGCAGTTGCAATTGCAGTTGCAGTTGCAGATTCAGGCCTTCAGATACCGATACATTCGGACTGACAACAGCTGCTGCTGCTTTGGCTAACTGCGGCTATTGCTGCCGGCGGCTGTTCGCTGTCGATGATCGCATCGCAGCAAACACACACACTCACTGTGTGTGCACTTAACATCCCCGTATCTCGGAGCCCATCACATCATCGCATTCGGAATAGAGGTTCCCCGATATGGGAGACGTGTGGGTGGGTTCAGTTCCCCGGGGCGGGGACCAGAACTAGTTTAGCCAGCAATTTACAATAACTCACATGGAAATTGTTGTGATCTGGCCAATAAATCTAATTTATCGGCAGGCCTCCGAGGCAGTTGTTGCAATCTATGTATATCTAGCAGCTAAAGTATATGATAATTGGGCGCCACGGCTGCTTTTTAAGTTGGGGTCACCTCATCGGAGTTGGGCTTTGCAAATCTTGTTGCACGTCCATCATCATCATCGACAAGCGCGTCAAAAGATTTTTGCACGCTCCGCTAATAGTTTAGGCAAAATTCTTTTGAATGTCGCCGCCTTGTAACACTGACAAAAATAAATAATTAAATAAAGATTTAGTTGGGTATTTATATTGTTTAATTGTAGAGCAGTAAATGGATAGTATCGCTCTGTATAAAATGGGCTAATTAAAGTATTCTTTAACTTCAAAAGTCGCTGAAAAAGAGTTGGAAAATAAAACTAATTAAGAAATAAATTATTTAAAACATCTATAGAGCTATCGAATGCCTTTCCATTACTAGTATCGATAGTTTCTTGAATTTCTTAACGTATGTTAATAGTTTTAGAATGAATTAAGAGGTTTAAAAACATAGAAAATTATAACTAGATTACCTAAATAAAGTTGCTTGGGAATAGTTTTACAATATTCCTAATATTGATTAATTTATACTATTTTTAATGCCTTCTTTTATTAGAAAAGCGTCTACTATAAATATTAAAATGTAATTTTCACGAATTTATTGCGGTATAAAAAGCCTGATCGACCGACTGACTGACTGCATTTGACTTTATGCACAAAGAGTCTGTGTGTGTTGTCTATCTGGCTGATTGGTTTATCGTGCCAAATTCAGGCGTGTCGCCTCGGGTCAGATTTCGCTTGCCCATTGTTGTACGTAAAGCCCAAATGCTGTGGGTGACTCCAGCCTTCAACGAACCGAATCTGACCAGCGTCATACGCTTTAATAATAATTCCGAGGCTGAACGGATCTGGCTTTGGCATTTATGCATCCTGAGTCATGGATTCGATCTAATGCGTTTTAAATTTGGCAAACCCAAAACTTAGTTAGCCAGTTAATTAGATCTCGTTGATTCGCTAATGATTTCCTCTAATTTCGACTACTCTCGTCTAATTTGTATCTCCATTTCCCATTTAATTTCCATTTCAGTTCAACTTTGTCGGTCGCATTTTGGGGCCTCGTGGCATGACGGCCAAGCAATTGGAGCAGGAGACCGGCTGCAAGATCATGGTCCGCGGCAAGGGATCCATGCGCGACAAGAAGAAGGTGAGTGCCTAGCATAGTATTAAATAAATTTCCAAATGGAATCGAAAATCGGCAGGAAAAGAGCCATTAACGGCGGCAATCCAATGTAGGCGAAAAGCCCGCACACATTTTTGTGCACATTCCAAAGATTTTCAGCCATTAGCCGAGCACTTCAATTTCAATTTTAATTATCGTAAATAGTGCCGCCGGCGAATATTGTACGCGTGTGCATATGAAAATTCTGTTGACAGTCGGTTTCCGTGCCAAATGGGAATTATTTTCAATTATAAGGCGAAAAATATGCCCCTCTCTTTGTTTCGCTGAATGGCGATTATTTTGACAAAGTACGATATTCGGTTTATTACCTTAAAAATAAAACAAAGTAGGTGTATTTGGCCATAAAATATACATATATAAGGAATTATAATTCAAAATAATAATGGTACATATTTTTAATGAGTCTGCTAATATGTATTTTAAGCGGTACCTCCTCGTCTTTAGCAAAGCACTCTCACTTATTCGGCTATACATATATTAATATGCATATATCTTGTCACTCACAATGCTCTGATGATTTAATTTCCCCTGACGAAAAAAGCAAGCCAAATAAAAGGAAACGAAACAGAGGGAAAGAAAAATGAAACGAGTGTCTAGAGGCGATTAAAAGTATTTTCGTAATTCATAAATGTGGCGGGCCAAATAATCGTCAGTCAGACAGACAGACAGACAGTCAGAAGAGTATTCAAAAATTGGGAATTTTTGCTGCAATATTTTGGTAATTCAAGAGAAGAAAGCAGGTGGAGAGTGGAGACGACGCCCACACAATTGTCTGACTCATCGCCGGCCAAAGAAATTCGCATCCTCTTTGACTGTGTGACACAAGACGAAGAATAGAAGCGTTCTGTTTACTTGCATCTCTTGAATAGAAATAGACCCGAAAACCCGAGGATGAAATTAGTCATAGTGCATAGTCTGTCTTCGGTGACACCCCACTCACTATCTCTCTATATTTATTCGGTTTCTCTTTCGCTATTTTTTGCGTCAAGTGGCCAAGTGATAAAACTTTTGCCAGCGTTTGCAGTGGCCAAGAGTTGACAGTTCTTAATTTGACGCAGAATAAGTGCTGGACGGATTTCTTCAAAAGAATTTCTATCCGATTTGATCCTAATTGATTACTAAATTAAGAGTCATGGAGGCGAAACTTATTTATTATATTTCCTGCACGTACGCCAAAAATTCGTATTGGCGCAAGTAGTAATAGCATCTGTGAAATAAGAAATTGCAATAAAATGTACAGTATGGCGAAATCCCGCCCACTATTTATTGTTTGCGGCCATTAGCACAATTTCCTTTTTAACTATTTCAAATATTTTAGTTATGAGTGCTTTAAAGTGGAGGAGGAGAAACGATTGAATCATGTGGCATTCCAAATAAGAAGAGTGGAATTTGCAAATTGAAATTAAACGATAATGTGAATTTTTATAATCCGGAATGCTTTTTCTCAACTGCAACAGGAATTTAGCATTCATTTAAAATAAGGCCAATGCTGTATGCTGCCCTGAAATTGAGACATTGCACAATATTTGAGGGAAATTAAATTAATTTCAATTTGAAATTTGTAATTTATTGTAAAATAATTTTGTTTATCATTTTCCAGGAGGACGCCAACCGCGGCAAGCCCAACTGGGAGCATCTGTCCGATGACCTACATGTCCTGATAACCGTCGAGGACACCGAGAACCGGGCCAAGGTCAAGCTGGCCCAGGCTGTTGCCGAAGTTCAGAAGTTGCTTGTGCCGGTGAGTGCCACTAAAAAGTTTTTAAAGAACGCAGCGTCCGCTCTTAAACAAGCTGAAAGTAAACTGATACCGCCACATTGCGTATACGCAGTGGGGGCCTAATAAGAAAACAACAATAATAATATGTCCGCAAAATGCTTAAAGTAAAACAAAATCAAACAAAAGGAGAAAATTAAAAACAAAAGCGAGACTCCCTCTGCCTTTTCTCCCCAAAACCTTGTAAAAATAATAATTGTATTAAATGATTTCTTAGCTTAAACTCTGAATTGAATGTTAACCAATATAAAATTATTAATGAAATTTCTTATTTATTTCTCATTCTCTCTTACCAAAAAATCTAATCTGCTTTAATGTATTCCGTTTAATACATTAAAAACCAAACAAAAACACAACAAAACACGCCACAAAAACACACACACATACTTGTACTAACAGCAAGCCGAAGGCGAAGATGAGCTAAAGAAACGTCAACTTATGGAATTGGCGATTATTAACGGCACTTATAGGGACACAACAGCGAAATCTGTCGCAGGTATGTCAACCAAGACTCTCTCTCTCTATATACATATCTCTATAAAAAAAAGTCTCTAAAAAGCTAACCCGATCTTCAAGTCAGCCAGATTAAAAACGAAAATAACGAGAACTACCACCAGCTAATCGAGAATGTTGCCCACATCCTGAGCGAAAATCTAACCATTAACGATTTGCCGCTGAAATGATACCGACACCGAACTGATTTACATTCGATTTATATTTCTTTATTTCGTATTTGATTTATGTGTACGACGACCAGCTTTTTCATGCGTTGGCTCTGCTTCTTATATGTATCCCGCAGTGTGCGATGAGGACTGGCGCCGCCTGATGGCTGCCTCGGACAGCCGCCTGCTGACGCCCGCCGGCCTGCCCGGCCTCGCCGCCCAGATCCGTGCTCCCGCCACCGCCCCATTGGGCGCCCCATTGATCCTGAATCCCCGGATGACCGTCCCGACCACAGCGGCCAGCATACTGTCCGCCCAGGCCGCACCCACTGCCGCCTTCGACCAGACCGGCCATGGAATGATTTTCGCCCCGTATGGCGACTATGCGAACTACGCCGCCCTTGCCGGCAATCCTCTGCTCACGGAATATGCTGATCATAGCGGTGGGTTGTTTGCCAGATAATCTGGATCCTATCTCAATATCTCTCTGAATCACACACTCACCCAATCACACCGTATCATCGCTATCTCTACTATATCTATATTGATTTCGATTATGATTTTGCACACACACACACTAAGCGAGTCATCCATCAAGCGACGTAGGCAGAACAGTCAGTCAATCAGTCAGTCAGTCAATTAGGTATACACAAGTCAGGGGTTTAGCTGCGAGTTAAATTGCGAGCAATAATACAGCATATCGCCAGACAAGCACACGCCATTTAACACACACACCAGAGACATAAACACACACATTGCGCATACGCCATGTTGGCCGTGCGGCCAGGCGTTTGTCTTTCCTCTTAACACATTAACCAAGTGCAGTCTATTGAGTTTGCTAATACAGTCTAGCGGCCAGCAAACTTGAGCATATATAGTATTATATTTTCTTACCTTTATAAACATTTCCTTATATTTATTTTATACCTTTCAATGTCCTTTGTTTTATTATTTGTTTTGTTAATTGTCTTGTTTTTTTTTATACACTCTTTTGTCTTGTGAAAGATGTAGAATTCGCATTTTATACCGATGAGAGGAGCTTGCATTTATTTTTCTGTTGTTATTCGTTAAGTTGTAGCAGGCTACAAGGAGCTGGAGACTGGTCATTGTTGTAGTCCTTGAATCTCAATGGATTTCACACATAGTTGGGGACTGCAGCACATCCAGATCTCCCTGTATTTTTACATGAAGCTAACACACTTATTATTTACGTTCAGTGCCATAAAGTATGCTATAAGAATCTGTCAGCCGAAACGCACGCTTCTTAACCTCGTTGCCATGGCTTGTGCTTTCCAGCAACAATAATAATTCACAATTATTCTAATTATTTAACAACCAGAGCTAACAGACTTAAAACCTCTTCATTGATTTTATCCGCCTCTTAAAACGAATTCTCTATTTATCTTATTTATTTGTTATAAACATAAATATTTACAGTTGGTCGATATATGCATGCCGGCTCCGTCTTTTGAACTTCTCTCTCTCACTCTCTATTATTTTCCCCCTGAAAAACCAACAACAAAAGCAGAAACTAAATTTAGAGAAAAGAAAAATCCATTTAAAAAATGTTTAGCATAAAGTTACAGTTACACTGAAACAAAAGAAAATATATACACACACATGAATGTATAGACTGTATATATACAATTTTATATTAACTTAGAGACAAAACCATAAAAGTAAAACGGCACAAAGGAACAAACAAGAACAGATAGAAAATACTCAATGAAAAATTAAATCGTACAGAAGGAAACCAATCAAAAGAACAATTTTACAATTTTACGATTATTGCTCGCCAATGAATTTGTTTTTATACAATTAATTGCAATATTCATCTGTAGTTGATAGTTAATAGGTGGCAATAGGTCTGCAAATATGCAATATTGGCAAAAATAAGTGATTTTTAGGCCCTTAATTAGTAGTTGTTTTTAATCTTAACTTTAATTCTAACTTAAAGTTTCTGTAATTCCCCCCGACACACGTTTTTAAATGAGTATATTCTAGTTGAGAACAACAACGACGGCAGCGGCAACCAAAGCAAGTTGTTGATTTTCGTCTTTGGATCCCATGAGTATTCAAATTAAAGAGGGCTAAACTGTCAACTGATAGTTGCTGATTTAACGATTCGTTTTTATCAATACTTTCCCTTCTGAACAAAAAAAAAAAACCCTTCTTGTAATTTCGCGGTATAAGGGTCGAGTGTTAAGTGCAATTTAGATTTGTAGCTGTATTTTTTTGTTTGTATCTATGTAGTTATTTTAGTGAGTGTTTGCGAAAGGGGGGACAGTATTTATGCACAAATGTACCTTACATATAGAGAGATAGGAAATCCGTTTCAATTTTTCCATCCAGTGCCATTTCTCGAAAAACAAAACATATTTTGCAGAGAATGGCGACCGAACAGGGACCGTTCTTCAAAATATATACAAACACTAGAGTATCTAAACCTATTACTTTGAAACGGAAAGGAGCCTTGAATCGAGTTGGTGCTTAATTATTATTATTTCAAATATATGTATTTAAGTTAGTCGAGGCTCTCCGGCAGCCGTCCAGGAACAGAAATTGAATGCACGACTAGTCAGCAAGCTGGAAGATCAAATTGCTTAAGGAACAATTGTAAACACAAACACAATCAATCTTGTCTAGAACGTAATGATTACCGGGAGTACTTTATCTCCTAGGTCTAGGCTAAGCGGCTTGAAAATCACTTATTTTGTGTCCAACTCGAAACCAGATCCAATACTATATATATCGAATTCATAGTTACCCACAACACGCACATATATAAACGACTCATTCCAAAGAAGCAGAGAATTTAAATGTTACAAAGTAAAAGTGAATACACGAGTACGAACATGAAATGAAAGAACAGGTGAAGATGATTTTCCCTCTCAGTTGGCAATTGGCTTGTAAGCAAAAGTTCCAGCAGCAAGGCAGCAGCAAGCTTCAGTTTGAGCAAGCATATTGTATCTCTAAGGAAGATATATAAATTATATCTACTAGCTCCTAAGACGTATCTTGTAGCGAATATAATGTTCACATTATTTAAACATATAACCGATATATGCCTATATACAAACCCATATCTACATGTATCGTATCGTATATTTTAGTAGGCGCCATTAAGCAGCAGCGTCGTTTGGCGGCTAACAGAGAACATCCCTATCAGCGAGCAACGGTCGGAGTGCCAGCCAAGCCGGCGGGTTTCATTGAGATACAGTAAAAGTCGCCAGCATGAACAGCAGAAACCTAAATCAGAGAGCACTCACCCTTTTTTTTTTTAAAACAATCATCACCAGCAACTGTAACAGAAAACTTTTTATCAATAATTGTCGTGAAAGAAACGGAAATCGTACGATTTTTGTGCGTTGGGTCGTCTGCCCAGCTATAGATTGCGTTCAACCAATCAATTTAGTTCAATTATGTCAACTTCAGCTCCTTATTTATTTCGAAATGAATCGTTCGAGTCTGCTGCTCTTAATGAAATCCATAATATCCGCCCCGCACTGTATACCCGATGAAACCTGACCGGAACCGTTGGCCAGGCCAGGCCGCTCTGCCCTGATCAGAGTTCGAAAAGAATTGTCAAGCGCCGCACCGCCTCCACAGGTTAGTCGTGTTTCTACTCTGTTATTTATTTTATCAAACTATTATTTACTTTATGTGTTATCTTTTGCGGAATAAAATGCAAATGGGTCTGTGTCCAGTTCTGTCCTGACCCAGTTGCACTTTATTTCCTCGAGACTGCGAGTTTTGAAACAACAAGCAAACAAATTTTTGATAAAAGAAAAGTACAGACACATGCAAAATCTTTCACATGAAAAGTTGATTTATTTTTTTGATACTTATATTTGATATTGATATTTATACACAAATTTTTATATTATTTTTCCTTTGTTTACACGTTGACTTGTGCCTTTGATGTTTTACATAAACTCAAAAATAAAAAAAAAAAATGAAGAAAAAGGAAAATTTTGAAAAACAAAAAGAGAAAAAAAAAAGAAAGAAGAAAATTTGAAACATTTTAGTAGATTTTTATTCGTATTATTACTCTCGGATAAGCCATATACCATATTTAAATGAGAAAAAAGAAACCCCTCTTTACGAGATATGAATTTTACATGTGTATCCTAGCAATAAGTCCCCTGTTTAGTACGTTAAGATTATATAATTATTTTGTATTATGCGTTCGAGTGTAAATGTTGCAATTGAACCGAAAGTGTACCACAAAGAAATAAAGATCAATGATTTTTGTTGAAGAAAAAAAAACAAAAAACTAAAAAAAAAAATCAACACAACAAAAAGCAAAAACAAAACAAAATCCGTACCAAGACTTGTGATTCTTTATTGTTCTACGAACTTGACTTCTTCCAGAAATAACCTAAAATATGGTTCTACAAAATTTCAACCAGAATCTAACGCTTTCCGAACTTAACCCAAAAAAAAATTCAATAATTCCAATATTTCTCGAATTCAATCGTCACACATAACTCATTGATCAAAAATAATAATAATAATAAACACTTCACTTTGTTTGCAACTCTAGTAACTAAGACAACTTAACGTTAGACACCAACCAGACACGCCACATTGAACCATAATACCCTCACCCACACAACACACACGTCCTCCGGGCATAACTCTATGCTTACCTCCTCCACTACGATCGACCATTAATCCCACCGACGAGCAACGTCGACCAAGATCTACTTACTACCAGCAAGAAACCACCTTAAATGCCATGAAGCATATATATCTGCATATCTGATACATGTGTCTATGTGTACTGACCACACTTAATATACTTAAGCTTATGGGTTGCGGTATTTCAGTAATATATATATTCCTGTCTATGATTAATTGATCTCCTAGACTAGTTAGTTAATTACACATAACTTGTATAACTCCTATCCGATCCATGAAATTGCATACGCATCTGCTTCAAATACGAGATCAGATTCAAAAGTAAGATCAGATCTCTGTAATTATCTGAAAAGAACTAGTCAATGTCCACTAAATTCACTCAAATGGTTCCAAGAACGAAATATGAATTCATTTAACCACTAAAACAGTGTTAAATAAACGCAGAAAAATAATAATTAACCTTTTGTTGATTGATAAACAAAAAAAAAACATGTATATAACGCTTTTTTTTATAGTTTAATTACTTTTTTTCCACTTTTGTAAAAAGAAAACAATGTATTTCAAGTACACACTCTGCCTTGAGAGCTAATGCACCTGCAATTTTATGTATCTCTCTGTTTAATTTAATTTCCCCCTAATTATAATGTGATAAATCTTATAAATAGCATATTAAAACCATTAAAAGGGATAAAAAAAATTATTGATAGACAAAAAAAATGTGATGTAATATTATTGCTAATTATAACTAACCAAAGGCCAAGTTAACCAAAAACAAACAAAAGAAAACTAGTAAAAATGAATTAATCTAAAAAGAAAAACTCTCATGTTCTTGTGTAAATTGAAATCAGAGAACCAACTTCAATAACCATCAAATGTTGCATCAAATAACGACACAAAAAAAATATATGCACTATCTACAACTTTTCTATATAATTTAATTTAATTTCCTGTCGATGAAAGCCTCTAATGATAATAATGTATGTGTTTGTCTTTACTATACAAAAACTTCACGCTGTTGACCGCATTCTTTGATTAACGGATGCGCTTGGCAGGGGCCAGCAAAAAGTTACTAAGTTTTAATCAAAAGCATGTTTTTGTGTGAGTTTACTAATTAAATGCGTAAGTTGCAGCCATTATTTAGTAACTTTTTGCGCTCTTAACTCGCATAACATAGCTACTTAAGACATGAAGAACTAACTGCTAACCATGAAATATTAATCAAAACTCTATTTCCACTTCTATGAATCTCTCTCTTTACATGCTAACTAAAATACAAATAAAACGAAACAACGCAAACACAAATATTCGACACACTTACATTCGTTAATAAAAAAATACAACAAATTTAAAATAAAAATTCTATGAATAACCCGACAAACCCAACTTTGACCGATAAAAAACACCCCAAAAGCACACTACCAACACCACCAATGACACCATTAAACTCTCCAACCAACCCGCTCCTCCATCCGCCATGAATCCATCCACGCCTGCCATAGACGAGCACGGACGCCGAGCAGCAGCTGCATCCTAGCCAGGCCAATATCAGAGCCATGTGTGTGCGTGTGTATGTGCATCCATCTGAAGCTAACCAGAAACTGTAACCAGAAAAAAGAAAACTGAAAACCGAACACACTGAGCAACATGTCACTGACACAACAACAGCTACTAAACTCGCTCCTGACACCTGAACTCTGACCCATTCGCCACATCAACAACACCCAGCAGCAGATGCAGCACTTAATGGACAGCAGTAGCAGCAGCAGCAGCAAAGAACACCAGCAGCAACATCAGTATGTATTGAATCTTGTGGCCATTAAACCGTTAAGTTTTGCCAGCAAACAAAACTAAACAAAGTAAGCGAAAAGCAAAACAATTGATAAGAGAATCAAACATAGAACTTAGTTTAATTAACATAATCTAATGGAAAATACAAGTTAGTTCTTAGTGAAAAGTTCAACGAACAAAAACATACTTAAAGCAAACGCACACACATATATATTTATATATATTATAATATGCATATACAATTCTGTATATAATAATCCCAATAAACCCCTTAATCGAACTAAAGAATATTATGTTAACGGAATCTCATCCAAGAAACTCTATACAAGCAAGCATAAAAAAAAAAGAAGCTGTTTTTATTTTTTTTTTTAAAGCGCTCTTTTAACTCAAATTATGAATCTTTTACTAGATGAACGTTAGTTGTTTTCCCTCTCCCCTGATCATTGTGAACCCCCAGAGACTAGGCGACGGCTCAACTCATTATTATGTCGGGCAACGATCTTGTGCCGTCTTTTTTAAAGTAAGCGTAAAGCCTATTCTATTTTTTGTTAAACTGACGCAAGCTCTTGTTAATGAAGTATTCTTTGATTATGTTACATATCTATACCAGCTCCACTCCGGTCTGATTGTGTGAAAAGAGAGAGAGAGTGGGGGCGAGAAAGCTATCGAAACAATTTGCATAATGTCACATTAAACACGTTTAACAGCCATATTTAGTTAATGAAACACGGTCATACGTAGGTATGATTATTATGATGATAATATCAAGCATTCATTATGTACAATTAAACGCTAAACTTAAATTATTTTAAATACTTTAACGCTAATGTATTATATGCAGAAATAAAAACAAAAACATATTTTTTAATCTTCAAATTGTTCTAGAAACACACACACACACTCAACAAAAGAGAATTCTTTAATTTAAAATAAACACCAAGCCACTGAGCATGGAATCTGGCATTGTTAAAACTCTTAACTGAATAAAAATATATTACTTAAATGTTATAAAATGAATGCAGGCAGATTGGGAAGGAACAAAACTAAAAAGCGAAAAGGAATTGCATTTAATTTATGGTACAAAGTGGGCGCTCGCCCAACATAAACCTATTGCCGCACACTTTATTTTAAATTAAAGAATTTTTATTCATTTTTGTTGGGAAATCGAGTTGTTATCAATATGTGCCTTAAAAACAAATCGGCACTAATCAAAATAATCTTAAAAAAAAAAGCTTATAATAAATAAAAATAATATAAAGAACATTTTGAAATTATTCTGCACATTGTGAGACTTTATACTCAGAAACAAAACTAAAATCAACCTATAATTAATATAAAACATAATGTATAGTTCTTATTGATAATAACGGCAATCGTGCAATCGTAGCAATTCGAAAACCTTGCTTATGATGAGTTCAGCATTGATTTTAACAACAAGCAAATATAATTCTCTCAATGATTGTGTAACTAAACAGAAAAGAACGTTTTAAATCATTTAGTTGTACGCTCATTGCATTAATCAAATCAAACGTTGTGTGTCCTAACAAAACACATCTGAAACAATGTTCATTCATCGCCAGCATCTTTATTTTTTAACTGCATACGTTTGAGAAGGCAATCATTGTTTTAATGTGAGATAATCCATATGTTCAAAACCTACAAATATCTATTAAATACGCACAAGTAATTAATTACATTTGTGTATGTATGTACGATTATGTATAACTTTTTGAATAAATAAATGTTTATATAAAAAGCGAATATATTTTATTTCTTGCTTGGAATATTGAACATATATTTTAAAGGTAAGTAACAATAATGCTTAATTGAGTTTGCCCATGATTGCATGAAGGGGAAACGATGTCCAACTCCTGCTCTGGCCTGTCATATTCGTAGAAGAGAAAAGCGCCTTGGGTCAAGCGCCATAATAAATATACTAAACTAGCCTCACTTGACTGTGACCTTGTCCAATGTCTATCTCAGGCAAGACCACAAGACCATCAACTTGCATTAATTTCTGTAAATTCTCTGGAATAGGTATCATAACTGAAAGGACATGCACTCCGGAAAATCAGGTGGGGTTAATTAGCAGCAAATCAGTGCCGGACTGCTTGTGGAGTGTTTCGGAACGCAACATTTGGCGTCATGTGCGTCAAGTCGGTCATTCAAGTGAAGCTCTCAACTAGACGTTAATTTACGACAGACTTCCATATCCCACGGCAATCTGTCTGTCCAACTGTCTGCCAGAAAGTGGGCTGCTTTGTATTGTAAACAAAGGACGAAGCACGTGCTAGCAAAGCGCAAGCGCATGCGCCCGCCTAACAGAACCGTAACAGTGCCGTAACAGAAGGTCCCTTCGGCAGTCCTTTTAATAGACGCTGCCCGCGGTTGGTCGCTTCAGTGCAGTGTAAGCGGTCGTGCGGTTGGTTTAAACCAGAGGACCTGTACATGGTGCATTAATCTCTCCATACGTCGAATCCGTGTCCTGGCAACAAGTGTCCTCCTGCTAGGATGTGCGTGAGAAGCTCACTGTGCAGTGTTTTATTTGGTTACTGTGTCGCTTTGCTCTGTGTGACGGTTGTGGTCCTGGCCGAGAACGGGAATATAACTCAGCTGGCGCTACCGGGCGAGGAGTGCGGCAGCACTCAGGGTATGGTGGACGAGTGCTTTAAGGATTTGCCGCCGCACCTTATGGAGTTTCTGCAGAACAACAAAATTGTCATCAGCAAGAAGGAGATCACCACCAAGTGCAAGTACGCCGGGGGCTTGAAATGGGACACCCATTAAGTGTCGAATAAAAGTGGCACTTCCATTATCGATTGGCCACCTCAAGCGGCTTAAGGAGGCGCGCTGCAAAACCGATTTATTCATATTTCCATTTTGCTCCTGGGAGTAAAAGTTATTCAGGGTCGTGTTTTTTTCGACAGGGGACAATATCCCGGCTTGAGTGGGGTCCGGCTGGGTATTCCGTCTGGGCGTCCGCGTAGATGATTAATTATTCCGGCTTTTGAGTGCCAAAAATAAGTTTCAGACTTTTGGCATTAGCATGCCCTTGATTCCCTAATTGGAATTCAGTATATTTTAAACGAAATCAGCCGTAGAAATTGAGTTTTAATGGGCTGATAAAAGAATCATTAGAAATTACTTAATGTCTTACAGTTCCTTGTGCTAAAAAAAAACCTAGGAATGAATATTAACCGTAAAACAAATATTTCATGCTATTAATTATTATTATTTAATACTTGATTAATCAAATATTTTGAGCCGAAATTACTATTGCCATTACTATATACCAAAACTACAATAGAATGTGGGAATTAGGAATTCATTTAATCTACATGTATATTATTAATTTGAAGTACAACTGCTTTCAATAATCTTAAACAAAAGCCATTAATAAAAAGGAATTGTAAATGATAACAAATATGAAAAATTGGAATCCGAATATTCAAGTAACTATATTCATAATAGCTCATAAATTGTCAAATTCATAAAAGTAATCTTTAGTTAAATTACTTAAAATCATACCTATATTTATCACCTGATTCTTATTTGCTTGATATTTTCTTGCCTATTCTTAAGGTATTAGCTAAGCTTCGTTTGGCATGTCCAAATCTAATTAGCAAAACTCGTAAATTGTCGTTTGACTTGGCTCGAATTCCAAAAATGCCTTAAATGCTGATGGTCAAAATGTCATTTACATATTTTTGGAACTGTGTAATTATTACTTTGGCAGTTGAACTCTTAGACAGAATTAATTAAATATTGCAGAGGACTTCACTAACAGAACTAAGGCATTGGCTGTGAAAGAAGTATTGAAATATTAAGACTACAAGTACAGTAGTAACTAGAAGCTCACTAAAGTTTCCTGTCTTTAAATAAGCTGCTATTAACAATTAGCAAAAATGTTTTGCAAAACTGTTTAAAAATGGGTAAAAGGCTAAGGGAGTTTAACTAAGTGAAAAACGTGAGGCTTTAGTTATATCTTTTATAGACAAATGGTAAAGCATTAAAGCGAATGGCTAAGGTCCACAGCAATTTGCAAATATATGTATGTATGTAGGAGACGTGTCAGGAGAGTAGCAACTTGAGTGGCAGCACTCAATTAGACCTCACTCAATTGTCCCTCCTTCAAATCGAATTATGTCTTGCAGTATTTTCAACCGCGGCATGAAGTGCTTCGACGCCTACTCGAAGCGCTGCCTGGACGATCGCAAGCTGGACACGTTCAAGAACAATGTGGAGGGAGCGCGGCGGTTTTTCTACAAGTTCTGCGGCGACACCGATTTCCAGCGGGGTAAGCTTACTAAAATGTACAAGCATTATCCTATCTGAGGCAGCTGCAGGAAATCAATTCGCCACTCTGACACTTGCGAAAACATTAGCATACCCACAGGCGTCGAGGTGTCCAAGCACAGCTTTATTCACCACACACCAGTACACACACATGCACACACAGCCCAGAGCAAAGCCCTCGGAAAGCCTTAAACAAAGGACCCCAACTTGACAGGACTTACTCGGCAAAGCCGCAACAGCATTTGCTTTATTTATACTAAAAGTATGCGTGTGAAGGATCCTCGACATGTTTTTCTGTGGAAATTTTACAGACTACTTGCGGCACAAGGACTGCTTCGCCTACATCCAGCTGGACTGGGTCACCTGCACGTCCGAGTTCGAGAGCATCCTTAGTGACGAGGTGCACGACGAGACGCGGAACGCCAGCGAAAAGTTCCTAGAATTCTGCTGGTAAGTTAAACGAAACAATTTTATTCCTCGGGAATTGTTATTCCCTTATTTGCTGTATTTTTGAAATTCCCCGAATTCTGTGTGTATGTTAAACGAAATATTTCTCTTCATGTGAAGCCATTATTTTTAGAGTGCAAGAATAACCTCTAGAAAAACGGCAATATTCAAATTCCATGTATTCAGAAGTTAGCAACGCTTTGCAATTTGTTGCAACGAAGCTAGCGAGATTTAAATTGAAAGACTAGTTTGCCTAGAAAAGGGCAGATAGACGGGCTTGGCTATATTGACTCTGCTGTTGATCTTGAGCCAATGCGTTGCAAATTTCTAACTATTATTAAATAAAGTTGAAAAGGTATAATTAAAAATATGATCTTAAACAGCATAGACATATTAGAAATTTGCTAATCTGCAGGTTTTTTGAAAGATTTTAGAATTACAAATTTAATTAAATTTTTTTTTTCACAGAAGAGCATAGATAGTCGCTTTCTTTCTTGTTATATTTTTTCTACGATTCGTAAATTAAGGTGAAAAATCCTAGTCAGAACGATAATATTTATTGCATTGTCGCTGGCAATGGGTGTTGTGAATTTCCTTTCGCTGGAATCGATACCAATTGCAATCAAAAACTGTACTTTTACAGCGCCCGGTACGCGTACGAGAACTGCATCTACAACAGCGCCCGCTACAAGTGCTACAAGAACTCGGCGGAGTTTGCCCGCGAGACGGCCAAAATGCTGTCGGACGAGAAGCATTTCCGGAACTGCGCTGTCCTCCAGAACATCTGCGTCCACGCCACCGGACTGGGACTGACCCTGGACAGGAGCTGGCTAGGTTGCCAGGTGGCGGCGACGCTGCTGCTGATGCTGATGGCGATGCGGTTCTGGCCGTAAATCGAAATGACCAATACGTGTGGGTGTGGTCAGCTGAATGGAATGCGATATGGGTGTGGGTGTGGATGTAGGTGTGGATGAGGATGTGTGAAGCGTTTGTGGATGTCCGAACTTGAGTTTCTGGTTTTTTGGGCTGTCCAATTGAGAATGCAAAGCATTTTAGCTCCCTTAAAGCGCCCTGGAAACTACTCACTCTCTCCCTCTGGGTTTCCCCTCTTTTCTGTGTCTGTGCATTTTCCGGTGTCGTTGGCTTGAGTGTGTGCGTGTGTGTGTGTGAGAGGCGGGCGGGTTACGGGGTCGGAAAGCGGCACCGGTTTTCTGTCCTATGTTAAGTAAAATTAAATGCATATTTCAAATAAAAATACATACTCACGTTGTACTCCTTTTAGTGGTTTTTATTAGGTGTCCTTGCGCTGTCCTTGCTTCCTTTTTAGCCACGAATTCAAATTTTACAGGTGCCTCCACCGCACAATATCCAGGTTCCATCGAAAACCACTGGCAACCGCAAAGAAACAATCGGATGCATAACCAAGGAGGGACACAGAAACAAAGCACAGCACAAAGGCGAATATTTCGAAGTTCGTTTTCCTGAATTTCAATATCAGCACCACAGCACCTGCTGCGCCGGAATATTAAATTCTTTACGTACACTGAAAGAACATTGTCAACAAAATATCTAAAACTATGTAACTATGCCCGGCTGTTTACCGGAAAGGGAAACCTAATATGCGAAAAGATGTGACATAAAAATACACTTTGATCAAGATTTACTCACAAAACTTTAGTTTTGGTGAACTATCTATAGAAAATCGTACTAAATACTACGTGGATATGTTTAATACCAATGTGGCTTGGTCTCAATTTGATCAGAAACTGTCGATTTCGGCTAAAATACTCTTCATAAATTTTTATTTGTAATAAGTTTTCTTTAAATTTTTTTCTCGAGTTGCCAGAGTATACATAAGCTTATTAACTTTTTACAGAACCTTCACACAACTATCATTTTTAATCTATCCCCCCAGGCAAGAAAACTTTTAGCTTAGTTGGCCTCAGCTGCTCAATTGTGAAGATTGGTTGTTAAAAGTTTGTTTTTTTATATGGAAATTGTCAAGAGGGATTTTTTATAAATATTCGCTTTAAGTTGCATCCCACATCCAAGAGTTTTTATTACAAACTAGTAGTTGCTGCTCCATTTTCACGGATTTTTCCCACAGATCTTGCGAAGGGAATGCATTCTTAGCTTTCAGCCGCAGACCGCCTCTCCTCGGGAAATTGAGGCCCTGCCAGTAGTCAACTTTATGCCTTCCGTTTTTCGTTTTTAGCCACGGCCCAGCTTCGAGTTTCGGTTTTGTAATCGTTTTGCTGCCTCCTGACATTGGCAACTCTAACATTGATGCAGTTCAGATGGGTTTCCTTTCATGGAGAAGGATTCAAATTTTGTGAACTCTGTGGCTTGCCCATGTATACCTCAAACTTGTCTATCATTGCAGTAATTAGCATCGAACTCGAGATTTATGGCCTGTTAAAGTGCTTTCAGGATTCAAAATCCCTCTGAAATGTATCGAAAAATATCCCACAAAATTGTGCATCCGTAGGTGATAAATTGATTAGGACTTTGACACCTTTTAAAAGGTTTTAAAACCTTGGATTCTGTAGGGGAATTTATACAGTAAGTATAAGTCAAAGCTTTAAAATTAATTAGAAAATATCTACCAGTTAGCTCCTTGAATGGCAGCCAAAAAAATACCATTAAGGGAAGAGCATACCAACTGCTTTTGTAAACAGTTTCCAGAGCAACAGCAAACTTTCCATAATATGAAGCATAAAGTTGGCCGTTTCAAGAGTTGCTCACGTCGCAAAGCGGCGAGGTGGCTGGGTCAGGTCCAAGTTAATTTCGTTCGCGCACTCGCTTAGTTTTTACCCGAAGCTGGGAAATTGAACGCTAATGGCTCCGTGGTACATCCACCTGCCACTCCATTCTGTCACTATTCACCTGAAAATTACTCGCTCGACTTGTGGTGCTGCTCCTCCGTAAGAGCGTAATTGAAGGAGTGCTGGTAAGTGGGAAGCCGGGTCCCATTAGTTCGAGGAATGCAGTGTAACGGAGCAGACATTATTTCCTATGCATCGAACGGGGGACACAGGTGGCTCTGGGCAACCGTCTGGACTGTGTAACAAATCGATTGCCTCGATTTACCCTGCCTTTGTGGTGACTTATTCAAGCGGCAAGGTTCAACCGCAAGCTTGAAAGAAAAGTATGAACACTTGCGGCCTTGTCAACTTGTCATTTGCAAAGTGAACCCAAACAAAAAAGGAGCAAAAAATAACCAAAGAAGTAAGCTGTCCTTTATGCTCGTCTCCTTAAAGCTTAATTAGAAATTCTGCTAAAGCAGAGCTTAAGTTTAAATATGAAACACAAGGATCATAGCATTGTTCAGTCTTTGCCAATGGAATTTCCTGACGAAAGGATTAATTGATTTTTCCGCTTTTATACTTGAAATGCATTCTCTTATAACGATATTTGTAATTTAATAATGGCAAAAAAAATCGATTCCGGGTCATTAAGTTCAGCCAAGCTCGCAAAATCCCTTGTTCGGTAGACAAATCGAACTTTTAATTGAATCAATTAAGTGGTGAAGGGCTTTTTCCCAGCTTTTTGGGAAATTCGATGCGTTGCATATTTAACAAGGACGAGCCGTGTAATTAAGACAAATAAGTATAGGGAGCCACAAACTTTCAATTATTTTCATTCGTCTTCCGCCCCCAAAAGTTTCCTTGGTATCCTGTTCTGTTTTCACAAGTCCGAGTGTACATTGTGGCTCACTTTTCACAGGAAACTAAAGGAAGGGGCCTTGGACTTGCTTGAACTCTTCATTTATGCAAAATTAAATGCATTCTAGTTGTTTTTCTGCTCTGGCATAAAGAGCATGGCTAAGTAGATATGAATTTATTTAGAAATTGGTTTGAATTGGATTTCCACGAACATTTCATTACTTTTTGGTATCAAATTTCCGCCTATTTTTTTAAAAGAAAGTTGGTTCACATGAAATGCAAATGTTGAGCAAAATATGAATATGAAAACGCATGGTAATAAATCAAGAAAAACGGAAAAATACCCTCCGGATAATATTTACTCAAAGTGCTGGACCTGGCACTGGCACTGGCCAAACCAATTCATGGCCCGAAAGCACATACCACTTAAAGTGAATTTCATTTTACAATTTATGACTCTGGGCAATCAAATCAGAAAATAATTTCGTAGCTACCATAAAATTACCAATCCAGGTCATAGTACTAAAATTCATATAACGAAGTAGACTTTAAAGCTGTAAAAGAGCAATTCCTCTGGGATTTTGTAAAGGGATATTTGGAATAAAAATGGGGTCTGGTAGAGTGGGCTTTAAGATTGCGGGGAAGCAATTACTAAGGGGAGTTTCTTGTAGATTTCACACAATTTTATTGAAATATTTCTATTTACTGAGGACGAACAATATATTTCTTAAAGGCAACTGTCCATTAAAATTTTTTAAGAGTAAAAAAGAGTATCCGAAAGTCAGGAATAAATTACACATTTTTCTAAACAGACATACTGCTTTTTATTTTGTATTTGTTTTATTCTATTAATGTCCAAGCTAAATATCAGCCGACGTTTGGTCATTTGCAGAATTTAATGGCGTAATAGCCCCTAGATTATATACTCATCCGCTTATAATCTGCGTGAGACCGCCGTCATCGTAACCACCTCCATAACCGCCGCCGCCATAGCCACCGCCACCTCCGCCGGGACCTCCACCGCCGTTGCTATAGCCAGGCCCGAAGTTGCCCGAATAGACTGGACGCCCGCCGCCTCCTCCACGGCCGCCACCTCCACCGTTGTAATAGCTGCCGCCACCTCCTCCTCCTCCACGTCCTCCATTGACTCCTGTGTAGACGCCAGGTCCCTGGCCGCCCGGTGGATTACCTAAAAGTGTCGGTCGAATGAGAGATTCATGCGGTTACTTAATTGGTGCGCGAAATGCGCCTGCGTTGGGGTTTTGAATGTAATTGAAAGCTTATATAAGTCTAGTGCATCTACAAGTTCGCTTTGGAATATTTAAAAATTAAATAATAATATATAAGAGATAAATTATAAATTTAAATGCAGGTGAGATATAAGTTAGTGTAACTATTAATATAAAGAATTAAATAGAAGGAACTCTAAACCAGTAAACTATTTGCTAACATTGTTAAATAAAATACAGAAAATATTACTATACTAATATACTAATTAATGGTTTTTATATACTTCTTGAAAGGCGAGTCAACATCTATACACTTGTACACCCCTAAGCAACAATATCTAAAACAAGTTTCAAAATGACTCTAGCTTACTCGGGATTATTTGTAGAAAAAAGAAAGAACTCGCCCAAGGCATCAAGTCAAGTTAACATAAAATAAGTCCAGGTAAACAACGTTCGGGAGTGGGCAAAGGTAAAAAGAAATCTGAAATATTACTTCCTTGGTTTTCCTTTGTGTTTTGTCTTTGTTTTGGAAGGGATTCTTAGCTATGAAATAATGTCAGGGCTCTAACTTACAGTCGTAGCAACCGCCGCCAATGTAAACAGCCGCCTCGGCCAGCGCCAGGGTAGAGAGAGCGAGTATTGCCAGTGCCGTCAGATGTCTCATTATTGTGCCGATCTGTTGATATGTCGAACTGGTCTGGACCAGGTACAATCGACAGCAGCCGCTTATATACGATGCACTCACCGATCTCCGTTCCTTATCGCTGCAGAGAACTTTTCGCATATAAACAAACCGCTACGTAAGTATAAATCTCAGCAGGGAATTGCCCACAGATACTTTTTAAAAACAATTAGAAGCTCATCAGATAGACGAGTTGAAGTGTTGACTAGATGCCCTACGTTCTTTAATTAATTTATTATAATAAATAAAGAAATCTATAAAATGAAGGAGCTTAAAGTCTTTCTAAAAGGTAAAAAGTGGGATTTCCAAATACTTATCAAACCTAGAAACCTCTCTCCTTTTTGTAAGTAAATCTTTAAACAGAGAATTTTTCTATCTAAAAAGTAATGAAGCCTCACAATATTTCCCTTCTAATTAAAGTATTTGTACTTTCATCAGTTGTAATCAAAAATCTAGACATGAAAAATGACTTGATTTTTTCGGTTGTTAATTTGTTTATTTTGTGTTTAAAACCATTTTTTAAGTGTCAATCGCGGCGCTACGTTTTACGTTCTGTTCACGAGTCACGACATTTGGCACGGAAACCCGTTTTGCTGCATTGGATTGATGGCCCGGCTAGGTTGGGGGTGTGATTCTCTGGAATCGCGCTTGCCATTCATGTTTAGAACGTCTAGTAGTAATTGTTAACAGTGTTTTTGGGCGTGACTCTCATAAATTTCTCTGTTTGAAGTTCAAGGAAATCAATTACGTATCTCGCTGAATTGGGGAAAACCCTTCGAAATCTGTTTTGTGGGGAAAAATTGTGAGGAATGTATGTATGTGTACTATATGACCTATAGAGTGCCTCGAATTCTGTATGTTTTGCCGCGAGAATCCAGGCTTATGCAAATTGATTTTGATTCAGATTGAACTGCCGACCGATCGACCGCACTATATAAGCGGCGTGGTGAGAGCCGAGTCGCTTGTCTATCGGCTTGAACATGAACTACCTGACGTGTGTGCTGCTCCCGTTGGCTTTGATTCCGGCTCTGGTCGGCGGTGAGCATGTGGGATTCTGCTGCGGGTAGCAGCTGACGCTAATTGATACCTTGCTAATCATTTGCAGCGCATCCCAGTACGGTGGTGGTCAACGGGGTATGCCTGACTTGTAAGTACAAGCCATTGATTGCCATTGGCATTCCTTTGCTTAATTTTTCACTCGAACAGGCCCCAATCCGCAAGGAGATCCCGTCTATCTGGATGGCCAGGAGTACCGTAGCTTCTCCTCCCCAGGCAGCAATGGCAACGTGGTCATATCCCGCGGTGATGGTGGAGGTGGAACCTATGGCAGGGGGCGTGGCACCATTTACCAAAGAGGGGGAAATACCATCGTCAACGGACGGTGTCAGCATTGCAACGTGGACATAATCTAAGTGTGTCACTTTAAAGTCTGAACATTAAAAGGAAATTTTGTAAACATATATGTATAAAGAGAATATACATTATACTGATCAATCAAATGTATTCGTCATTTTTTTTTTTTTTTTTTTTTTTGGAAAAAAAAAATAATGAAATTTTATTTGACTAGTGCACTGTTACCTAGATATTTGGCAACTAAACCTAATTGGAAGTTAATTCTATGTTTACAATGCTTTGTTATGGAGGAGTATTAAGTTAAGTTATGTTTACATAATTTGAAATGATTTTCATGTTTTGTCTGATATTTTATGTCAAGATCCTGTCGGGGAGGTCCTGAGGGTGGTGATGTATTCGTCATGAGTTCATTTTGTTAAAAGCCTTGACAATCGTTCGTTCTCCCCCAACATCCATTCAAAGTCAATGCAATGATTGTGTTGGCTTTGAGTGCAGAGAGCATCAGTCGATGGGGAATAGTTGGACCAGCAGATGATGCTTTAAATTCAGAAAGTGTGTGGGTGCACTGAGAAAAAATTTTGTAATCTGAAATTTGCAATTAAAAAGGGTCAGGCCTCTTGTAATTAAAATATAAAGTTAGGTAATGCAACTCTTTTATTTCTTAAAGAAAGAAAAACTTTGATTTCAACTTTCTTTAGTTTTTTAGTTTAGTTTCCTAGCAATAATGGTTTTCCAGTGTATTCCAAACTGTCTGTCTGTCAACATTGGCTTCCCCGCTCTGCTTCTCCATAATTGCGCATTAAAGTGACAACAAAAGCTTAGCGTATTTCACAGCGTGCCCTTGATGTGCTCACTCCCTGTCGCCACAAATTCAATCTGTTCGAATCGAGAGGAACAGCAGGGACAGTTTTTGGTGTCTGAAAAGTACGAACATGCTACAGAAAATAGAGAACATACTATTGTGAAAACAACATCTAGTTCACCTGGTGGATGCCACAAAAGTTGGGTTTGGTTTTCCATAGAGGTTGGAGGTGAGATAAGTGAGTGCTCCAATGTCTATAGCCTCCCCCATATTCTAATGGGAGTGTTCATCCACCACCATCCAGCGCGGATGAATGTACATACTTAATGGTATCGATTCGATGCTAAGTAAATGTGTTTCAAGTTGCTCCTACAACGTGCCACGTGGCGTATACGTAATATACAGAGTACGTTACTTTAGCAGCAACAAACAGAAACTGGGAAAATATTTCTCTAGAAGTAGCTACTTAGCAAAGAAAAAACATTAAGAGCACACTTGTCGGCGTATGACTTAAATCTAGGAATCAGTTAAAAGTCATGAGATTACAAAGCAACAGAAGAGTTTTTGATACAATAAGTCTACTTTTCTAAGACATGTTCCTGCACAATTCTACGTTATAATTACAATGTTATATGTGACAAAATAACAAAGCCATCAGAAGTGGCTTCATATAAAAATTCAAGTTACTTAAAGCTTTATGTTCCCTGATTGCCCTGAAAATAAAAATAATTACAGCAAAAAAAAGCAAAAGGGAATGTCTTGGCTGAGTTTATGGACAGCGAAATATCTGGTAGTAAGTGGAAAGGCATTTAATAATCATAAATTTGGCTCAGATGCCTGGGCAGAACAAAAGTCTTAAATAATGTCACGCTGAAGATTTTTTAGATTATTTAATAAAAATTTTAATTTTAAATTTAATATAAATTTAGGAATTGTTAAAATAAACTTTTTTTTTTCGTGAAAAAGGTATGCATTTAAAGTCAAACTGATATATTGCTTTGTGCTTGTCATTGTTGGAAATTCAAAGTAGGGAATTTACTAAGTATTTAGCAAGTATAGCCGTATATATGTTTAAAATATAATAAAAAACAAATATTTAGACAATTTTTTCTCTATAACAACTTAATATAATCGTTAAATGCTATATTTTTAATATTTTGTAATATATGTATATGATATTTTTGTTTACATCTTTCGATATAAAAACCAACCTTAGATAAAATATAAAATCATTTTCTGACTACTCTAAACCTTATAAACCCAGAAATTCATCGAAAACTGGGTAGTATTTCTGCCTAGCAACAAAAGGACCTTGAGCTAAACCATGTTCGCAATTGAATTTATGTTGACGTGTATTTGATTTCACTTCAATTTCTGTTCTCTTGTGCCTAATTTGTGTGGAATTAGAAAGAGATTTTCGGGGCGCAGGTGAAAGGAGAGCCAGGTGAGCCAGCCAGAGGCCATGCCGGGAGCACAATAGTTGCCTTTCTGTGCTGAATTTTCAAATAAATTTCAACTTTTGCTTTTTGGCCCCCCCAAGTGCTTTGCCAAAAGCCAACATTGATTTATCCTTGCTGCCCGAGGCGGCGGGGGAAATCGCCTTTGGTAATACCGTCACGTGCTGCTGGAAATCTTACATCTGCCACTGGTTGAGCTTTATTTGAACGCGGCCCTGGCCACACAGCAAATTTGCATAGCATGTTTATATTATTATTGTACTCGGCTCGGCTGTCCTCTTGTTTATCCTGCCTTCCGTATCCGGTTTGCCTGGATTGCGGGAGTCCTGGCGCCAGGAGACATAAATAAATAAATTTAATCCGAATTACCAGCATTCCATTATCGAAAGGAGAGGACTTGGCCCGGAGCAGTTTTTAATCCCTAGTTGATGTCATCACAATTGAAACGTACCGCACATTATTGGGGTTTGCCTCACATCATACGGTGCGTATGCGTAATTAAAATCAGCAGACACCTGAAAATCAAAGCTGGAATTTTCCTGGAAACCAAGGCAACAGCCACAAATTCTGACTTCTTTGAATTTGTGGAAGTGCAAATAAATCCCTTGAGGTATTAAGATAAAGGGGAGAATATATTGAACAAACAAGTGAATTAAATTCTGCAATTTTTGACTTGCTGGCACTGTTTTAAATTTTCGAGTAGTGGGAATTTATGATACATTTTTTGTTTACCATAATCTTATATAATCATTAAAACTGTTAATTTAAAAATTTTTTAATAGAAATATCTTTATTATTTGCAATTTGAATAAACTAACTGAGCGGCAAGCTCACTAAAAGTTTAGCGAGTGCATAACTTAGGTCTGACATCTGCAGTAATCCTCAAGTTTTAACTTCGCAGGCAACAAAGAAAAACTTCAAAGAAAAATAGAGAAAAAATGCCGACTTACAGGCAGGTAAATGTTGCAGAAACTTTCAAGACCCAACTTTTCTCGGGTGAAAATTCTTATTGAAATATCTAGACGAGAGCTTAAATGTTTTCCGAGGCAGTTGGGTCACTGACATCTGCCCGAGAATTCACTCAATAGAGGGGTGAAAACTAATTAGGTGCACTTTTGCCCACGAAGAAGTGACTTCCAGACCGTGCAGCCGCCTCTTTAAAGCCTTAATTTATCACGTATGGATGATGTGCCACTGTGAGGGACGTGGCAACGAATTAATTAAGCTGCGATTCGTCTTGATTTAATTTGAGTCAATTAATTAATTATGAGACGGCCCCATCATCATCTTGCCAACTGTCAATTACACTTTTTGTAAGGGAGTCTAGCGTAAACAAATTAAGGGGTAAATATGTACACATTATAATTAACTTTTTGCCCAGCGGTTCGAGGAATATTAACGCGGCTGTTTGCTGGTAAATATGATATAATAAATCGAGAGTAAGTTAAACCAAAGAGAGGACTTGACGCATCATCCGGCAATGTAGCCGAGTCCACCGAAGGCAGTGTAATTAATTCGCGTTTTCCTTCCATTGAGTCCGATTAAGAGCCCAAAGGTTATTTCTCTCGCGTTCACTGCAGCTCCATTTGTTAACAATTCAGTGGCTACAAAAATGGCCACAGCATCGTCGAATATGAATGGGTCCAGTCAAGGATGGCGATTGCAGTCTCGACGAACAACGCAACTGATGGATGCTTAAATGTATGCATGACCTTTGGACCTGGTCAACTCTCTGGGAACGGTTCCAGCTGTTGCTGCTGCTGCCATTGAAATCTCCCTATCTCCATGGCAACCAAAATCATTTTAATTTTGGGCATTTGTCTGCAGAGTTCGCTTGAAGGTGCAGCTGATGCTGCTGCAGTATTATACAGGAAATGTATATATACCGAGAGGATGAGTCCGATAAGATATTTCAATAATAATAATACAAAAAATCACTCTCTTGACACTATAATTCCCAACTAGGTCTAGTATATTCCGATTGCTAAAACAGCTAATTATCATTATTTTATTTATTTTTGTATTGATCATTATCATTATCATCGTTATTTTTGTTGATCTCTTTATATTTATTTTCAAGAAAATCAAAACGTTAAAATTGGCATGGCAAGGGAAAACTTAAAGTATTTTTAGCAGTGTTCTAATTTCAGCTGAGGAAATATGCAAGCCATATGTGTGCTTAGATGTCCTTTGAACTGCCTTGATGGACGGCTAAGCCTATTCTTAGTTATGATGGTCAAATGTGGTTGCTCTTTTGGGTGGACTGGCAATTCTGGTGATTAACTAAATAATAGGCTTACCTGGGAGCTGCTAATGAATTTACTCCAATTTTACTTACCTGCAATTGTTCAGTAAATTGGCCTTAATATAATCACAGATTAAAGCTGGTTGCCAAGACTCAAGATTCTCAATTTGCTAATTAATTTATTGGCAGACTTAAGCCGATGGCTATGTTCAGAAATATTCCTTTAGTGATTTTAAAGTATCGTCTGCATAACTCAACGAAAATATAGATTAAGCTGTTCCTGAAAGGGCCCTTGAATTTGATTTATATACATTTACGTTTCCCACAGAAATCCCATGGCGACGCTTGTATTTTCTGTCTTAGCCAAGACTTGTGACCCAAACGGCTGTCAATGCACCTAAATGACACTTTTCCCCGGTCGCCAGTTGCGGTCACCTGTGATTCCAGTGCCACCTCTGTCTGCACGTGTTTTGTCAAATATATATTTCTTTTTCGCTAAATCGTAGCAGAGCATTGGCAGTGTTTTGTGTCTGACAGCTGCTCTTGTTTTAGCGGGTTGAGTTGGGTTTGCGGATATGGTCCACATTGCGGTCAAGTTATTTTTAGCTGAAAATTTAATTATACCTAATTAAAACTGAATAC